TTATCATTAGACAAACTCAATTATAGAGGAATTTTCCTAGTAGTGGCCACTTGGTAAAGCAGTTTTAACATCGATGGCAACTCTGAATATGATGTTTAATTAGGTTAATCTTCCTTAATCAATTAGCTATAGAAACTTACTTGGGCTTTTTCCTTGGAAATATATCGCGATAAAAATAATTACTATTTCTAATTTATTTTAATTATAGAGCGTGACTCATAAATAAAGTAAATATCTAATTAAAGGATATTAAATTTAAATACATAAATAAAAATAAAATAAAATAAATATTTTTAATTAATATTTTTTAATATATTAAATACGATAAATAATTTAAAACAAGAAAAGGTAACTTATTTTCTCAGGTTGTGCGGCATGTTCGCGGAATTGAGTATGAAAACAATTTTGGGTCAATTGATCATTAATTAATTAATTAATTAATAATGCCAAACCAATATCCTTCGTTTCAAGTGCAAAATTCAAACACACGTTCCATTATTATTACTAGGGGTGGGTGCTTCTTTGAACCTTTTGATATGTATTGCTAATTAATTATATGCACAAGAATGACTATTAATAATATTTAATTCTTAATTATTGTTAAGTATATATTTTTAATAATAATTATTATTTTTTATATATGTTTTTAAAGTCTTTTGCGACATTGATTTTAATGATAATTAACAAAAATTGATAAAAATATAAACACTATTTATTAGTGTCAATATTTAATATCGTTAAAAGTTATTTTTATTATAGTGAAATCAGATCCGATAGGAAACAACACAAATTTCGCGGCGGATGGGGGCTAATGCATTTAAGGTTAATATGATGTTAATTGAAGTTGATGAGCGTTTAACAGTAATGGATAAGTGACCTTATTACAAACAAAAAACAATTCATTACGAACCAGTGAAAAATTTGTATTAATCGTTTTTAATTAAATTAGCTTATTAAAAAAATATATGATAAAGAAATTATATTTCATTAGAAATATTAAAAACTTTTTCATTTTTCCGTAATAATAATTTTTTTTCCTCAATAATTTATTTAAAATATTTGTTTTTTTCCTCAACAATTTATTTAAAATATTTGTGAAAACAGTCAATGAACATTTTTCGATGGATAAAGTATTAGTGAAAAAATAATGATTTTGTAATGTGGGTGGGGATAATGGTGGTTAGGGTTTGTGTGTGAGAGTATAAAAAAAAATCTCTAAAATTTCTAATATGGTTTGTAAATAAATTTATTTCTATATTAGTTATGAATTATGATAAATATTAAATTATACTAGATAAAAATCCCTTTTTGCACCTAGTAGTTTTGCATTATAGTAATATTGGGCTGGGTTGCAAAGGCCCAGCAAAAAAAGGCCCTGACCCAGAATGAGCTACCAGGTCAGCTTGTCGTGGCCCGGGTTCATGGGATTCCGTTAAATATTCGATAGTGAGCATGGTTATTATCGTATATTAACTTAAAATCATTGTAAAAGTTCGTAGATTTTAAATCACGAATTTAAATTGTATCGTTGAGAAAAAAGAGAAACACGTTAATGAATAATTAATTTGAAGAAAATTTTCCCCAAATGTTTCCTCAGTTCCATATTATTTGTCCACGTTACTATAAATAGTTGTCTCAAATCAAACCAACAAAATAAATATAAAATTACATTATAGGATAATAAAATTACAATGTCAAACTCATTTAACTAATTTTTTCTTCTTCATATCTTTTAATCAATTACCTTCAACATTCTTTACTAATTAAACTAAATATAATATAATCAAAACTGTTGAGGAATATGGGATGATTTTCTTGTGCTTCCTCCACTCTTCCAATTACTTAGAATCTGTATTCTCTGAACTGTCTCCATGAATGTTCTGCAAAATTAAATCAATAATTATATATAATCTGAATAAATACTGGAAAATAAATACTGGAAAACAATTTCTAATTTATATTTTTACTCGTCTTAAATTAAATAGAAATAATGGTGTAGCAATAACAACGAGTACTCCTGAATTTAAAGTTTATAATTTTTACATAATTTCAAGAAAATATATACAATAAAAATCATGTTTACAATCAAATACTCCTTCATTTCACTATTGTTTATCATTATTTCTATTTTTAGAGTCAAAACTATAAAAACTTTGACTAACTTTATAAAATATATTTTTTTTCATCATATCGATATGCAAAAAAATTGTAATTTATAATACTTTTCATATAGTTTTTGAATATCTAAATTTTTTGTTTAAAATGTCGAATTAATATAATTTAATTTAACTTTGAAAATTAGTCAAATTAAATTTTGAAAAACGTAACATGACAAATATAAATAAACGAAGAGAGTATTCATCCAGAGATGTTAGTAAATTTTTGACTACGTATCTAAGTCGGAGTAAAAGTTACTGAATTTACGTGAAAGGATAGAAAAGGTAAGGTACATACTCCCATGGTACATCTCCAGCAAGCATCCAATCTCCTTCTTTGTCTTGGTACAGTAGTGTAAAGCGTCCATCATTTTCATCACAACTCTCATGTGCTGCATCAAAATTAACCAAACTTAATTAGTAATTCAAGTCTTAAATTAATTCTTTATTGTTATTTTGTAAAAAATGAAAAGAAAAAAAAGAAGACATGCTATTTTAATTTTCATATTTTTATATAATAATAGGAGTGAATTAATTACTTACATTTATTAAACATTTGGAGCAAAGTGTTAGTAAGGATTTGGTAAGAATTATATAACATTAGATCAATTTTTCTTCCAATGGCTACTCCTTCCATTTTAACCTTCACATACATGGAATTTCTAATTCCAATATTGTGTCTATGATTATTATTATTATTGTTATTATTATTTTTGTTCCATCCAACTTCATGATTAATCCCATGAATTAGTTTTTTTCTCCATGATTTTATTGGTGGCCACCCCACTACTCCATTTTCTTCCTTGAATTCCCTGCATCACAAATGCAATATTTATTAATTAGTAATAAATAATATATCATAAGATCAACTAAAAATAATGATTTTTAATACACTTTTAGGAAGTTAAACTAAAACAATAACAATATTGTTAGACAAGAAATATAAGTCAAAGCCATAAATTATAATTTCTAGATCTTGGACTTATTTTGATTTAATAACAAATGTTTAATTAAAGTATTTTTTAATCTTACCCAAATGGCCAAACACTATACTAGTGTTTAAAATCTGTTTTAACTTAAAAACACCCAAAAATAAATGAGTCTAAATAGGCTCATAAGTTTCCAAGCACATATACAAGCATGTTCAAGTCATTTTGCCTAAAACATGACACTAACCTTTTTTTTTTGAAAATATAGGGAAGATTATGATACGGGAGATCAAATCATAATTTTTATTAAGAGAGTTTAAAACACGATAAAATTAATAAATAAGTTTAAAAAAGGTAAAAATCTTTCAATATCTACTATTAAATAATTTGTCATATATAAACAAATAAAAAATTTGCTTCAAAGACTTTGAATAAACCCTTAGAACCTATTTGACTCCACCGTTAATAAAGAGTTAGTAAATATATGGATAAAACTACACATAAACATGAAAGAATATGTTTACAACAAATTAATTACACAATCTTACTGATCATAACAAGCTTCAAAATATCTCCTTTTTTGATGACCATCATCATTATCTTCTTCTTCTTCTTCATTTGGTTGGCCATTCCATATAAGCAAAGACAATGTTTTACCTTCCACTTTGTTGCTACCATAATCATCATTGTCAATCTTCTTCATTTCTGAGAAGTTGTCATCAAATGTGTCAATATTAATATTGTTGTCATTTAGGTAGGAATATTTGATAGGATTTGAATTAGGAAGTGCAAGACCAAGACCAAGCTCAAGTTCCATCTCATAAATGATATGAAAATAAAAAAATAAGTATAGAGATTATAAAAGATTTGGTGGTATAATTTTCTTGAAGATGTTTATTTATTTATATATATATATATATAAGTAAAAGTAAATATTAATGTGGTAGAAAATGGAAAGAGAAGAGAAGGAGAATTGTCTGGTGAGAAAAAGAAAAAAGGGATTGAGCATTGAAGTTGGGTCGGCCAAAAGAGTAGCAAACATATCGACACCTCACAAAAGCATGTTTTTGGACCATCTCTCTTCTATAATAGTGGCATACTTACCCTTAGTTTGGTGCATATATCACAAATTATAGTAAATTACGATTAAAGAGATAAATATTTAAGTTGAGACGTAAATATTTTTCTTTTTTTTTAAAGAATATTTGAGTTTATTGTATGCATTATAAGTTACATCGATTCAGATAGTTGAACTTTTCTTAACTTATCTCTTTCATGTCGTATAACTTAAAAACTTCATATTACATTAGAACGTATTCTTTCTGTATAATATTTGCTCTTTTCGGTTTGTGAATAAGTTGGAGATTTAGAATATTTTTCGTTCTCTCCACTTTCAGATACTAATTTCACTACACATTACAGTATTTTTCCTGACTAATTCTCGTAACTCTGAATATATTTCATTTCAATACTCGAATTAACATATTAACTTTTGGTAAAATGCTTCAACTAGAGATTCACTACAGCAAATAAAGAATTTAGGATCAAAAATATAATCGTCTCCTTTAACGGCAATAGTAAATATGAGTGTTTATAATAATATTCTATATAAATACTTTAGCAATTCTGGATGCGATGACATTAACTCAAACGCTGATAAAAAAATTTATTGACACAAAATATCTCTTTTGTTACAATGACTTTAATTAGATGCAATTTTTGAAATTGTTTTTGAATATAGTCTTATTCATATATTAGATATAGTCAAAAAATTAATTATACTTATCGATATCAACTAGTTTCAGCACACGTGCGTTGCACGTGTATCCTATGTTAATTTTTTTTTATATTTCATTATAACAATTAGAATTCTACATGTACATGCATGTAACGAATAACAAAATTCAACAATTAC